ACTCTATGGTCATAGTTGAAACATAAGACTTACCTTAGCCTAATTTACTGCCAGGATTCGACTGAACAATAGCAGCTATCCGCAGACCGACCGTTTAGGCTTTATATGATTTCCTAGATTTGTAAGGCCAAGATGAGGTACCATAACATTAGTTAAATAATCACTCATTCATAGAATTTCAGTATTCGCGATAGTGCCTGATTTATATCATCCAGCGATCTGGTCTCTGCTTCTTGGCCGTCCTCCATGGAGTTTTGCCGAGATTCTACCGTACAAGTTTCCTGTGACATCCGGATCACATTCCCAAGGCAGTTTCAACGATTTTCTTTGGATCTGAGGAAACAGTTGATGAGGAGCTTACTTTGGAGCGCCGTGTTCTGCGCCTCATCACACCGGCATTATTTCAGACAGAGGTCACTTCTACCACCAGTACCCACCACCGCACTCAGTCACTCACGTCCGACCAAAGATGAGAGTAGGTGCAAATACAGACTTGAATATAGCTTCGCATTGCTACTCAGCTCTTTCTTCAACATCTTTCTTACAGATGGGTTATTGAGTGTCATAACATTCAGTTGTCCGATCTGCGTGTATTTTCATACCCTGCCTGCAATCACTTGTAAGTGTCACCCCAAGATTCATCGTAAAGCGCATATGGTGAATTCAGTTTAACAGTTGTTCGTAGACCGTGTAATGATTGCTTTACACCATGTTCACTACGTACTCGACCTGTATTCTACTGTTTCGGAAGTTCAGGAACTTCGTTACTTTATTGCAAGATAATGTCTATGACAGTCCGAGAGAGTTTATCTGCTTGTTGCTTTCAGCGGTATGAAGAGATTTTCAACTACGCCGAGTCGCTGAAATCTGTGCTGTTTACAAACGACATCGACCCGTACTTGGTACAAATATTCGAACAGTTTTATGCACTGCGCCAGTGACAGTGCTGCTCTTCGAGTTTGTTTGCTAATGAGCCACTCGAACAGCTTCTTCTGAAACTGCATGATTGACTTATTTTCTGTATGTTGTTGTATGATGAACTGTTCCTCCCCGAAAAAGAGCGGGAACCTCTGATTTCTTCATCCTGTTTCTCACAACTTCGTTGAGTTTCTTCAGAAAAAGACAAGCACATTAACGAGGTAGTATAAAATACCTGATCGATATCATCGTTCTTTCTCATTGTCGTATGCTTGTACTTCGTGTCACGAATGTTTCGTTGTCACCTACAGCCTTCGATGTAATTCAATGTGATACAGTATTCCGAGAAGCGAATACATTATGCACAACGTAAAACTTTTATTGCTGCTGGTTACACCTCATCAATAACATTTGTTTAATAGTTCTATAAACTTCTTGATCCCAACCATTCGGTGCTCTCTCGCTTCTTCAGTTTTTCAACAAAAGTATTGATACTCCTGTGGCGATGTACAAGTTATCATTGCGGTAACCTGTCGTTTGAGTCTGTCAACAACTGTCTGGTCGAAAACAGCTGCCTTTGGCATTCGCAAACGCTATATAGACAGGGCTTGGATGTGGAGAGACGTTCGCAAAGGTGTGGAGAGCCGCAGTAACTGCTTGTACTTAGTGTCCTCATTATTGATCAGAACCTGTCCTTTATGACAGCAGTGTCATGCAAACTTGAATTTGTACATCTGCCAACGGCAGTTTGTGTAAACATACTCAAATCTGTGAAAGAATACGTCGATTTTTCTTCGTTATCTATACTACGCAAAGATATTTCGGTCTTTTACATGAAATCCATCAGGCTTTTATCACTTATCCTTTCGTTTTTCCCACGAACAGTCATCTGCCTTTCAAAAGATATACGGCGTTGTGGGAAAGCTTCACCATCATTTCCGTGGGGACTACAAGTTGCAGCTCCCAAGCTTTCGGCCAGTTTGTAATGAGTCCAAAACACAGGCATTAAGAGGTCGGACACCTTCTGATTACTACTGCCTGTTCAACTTTAGTTTGCTCTCTATTTTCTTTAGCTATGACAGTTCACGACTAAGGAAAATACGATCAACCACATTTCAATCTGGCCGTTTACGTTGTTCCCACCTCTCCGCAAATGTGATGCCTTGGGTGAATTTTTGTAGTGTTACATGAATGTATACTTGATTCTTAGGTAAGCGTGCATGACTCGAGAAACCATACAGTCGATATCACCTTTAGTCGTAGTTCGTTTGAGTAGTGCCTTCCATATAAATTCCGAACGCTGTATTATAGTTGTACGTAATCTACTTGGGGTATTATTTATTATTAGTTAAGCACAGTAGTTTGACATGCTGATAACTGTTGAAACTTGATTGGCTTTAGCTGACCATTGTAAAGTTAAGCAACATGAAAATGGTTTATTTAAATCTCATTGCAGATCGAGCAGATTATTCATGATATTTCAGAGGAACCAGAACCAACAGCTAATATCGAAGTTTGAGACCAGGCATTATACATCGACTCTACCTTTGGTCCGCTTTCACTGTGCTAGTTACGCAGGATGTCTGATGCCAAGTCATTCGTCACGCCGAAATTAACCTACTGAATAGTGGTCATTACATGGTATTCGGCAGCTAAACCAAACTCTCGGAGGACTCATGACTGGCTATGCCACCAGGAGAGTTATCTCTTGGTCCCGCGGGTAATCACGATCACGAATAATAGTTGTTAATGATATCTGATCGCTACGTGACGCTCCTCTGAGGCGAAACATTTATGTACCTCTATCATGAGGTTTGCGAAGCCTGAGAGTGGGATTGCTCAGTCGGTGGAGAGTCAGACTCACGAAGAAGTCCCGAGTTCGAGTTCTGGTCGGATCACGCCTTTCTTGGTTCCGAAGTTGATAAACGAGTACCACTGCGTGCAAAGGAAAACATGACTATACACTGCTTGCCGCAGCTGTTGTCGACTCTTCTTTTAAACTAAGGCACTACTGGCCGATGGAATGGAAATCTGCGACCCACCATTAACTGCGGAAAATGAATGTTTCCACAAATGGTCCTATCATGAAAGCGTAAAAAACCGGCGTTCCAACCGTTCCACACTTTCTTTTCTTTTCCTCGCGGGGCTTCATATATTAACCTCTGTTAAACCGCGGAACATCGCCTGGCTGACAGAACTGGTAAATGAATGATCCAACGACTTTCTCGACAACGAATTTATGATCAGCAGTGAACAATCATAACGAATTGGCGTTGACCACTGAGAATGGAGAACAATGACGATATCCTTCCGTGAGCTGCTCTGACTCAAGAGTCGCAACTGCATGACTTCGTTGTCAGCTTCTTAAAACATCGCTAGTTCAGATGCGACAGAAACTATAAAACAACATCGAGGTGGAGTGGCGACTTCAATGATGTAACATTTCAAAAACCTTATTTCCATTTCCAAACAGCAGCGAGTTATTCGTATTGATGGCAAGGTGAGCTGCATAAGCTAACACCTTTCGAATGACTGAATGAGTGAATGTGAATGACTGAATGAGTAAAAACTGCTTCCAATCATCAACGCTGAATAACAACAATGAACATAGCGTCTAAACGTTGAATAAGAGTGTTTCTGATCATTTCACAACGTTGATATGTAAACAGGCTGCCCCGTAATTATGAGGACTGCTTAGCAACAAAACTCAATCACGTCGACAAGGACTGAATATTTTAAACTATCAAATTTCAAATACCTCGGGGTAGCGTTCACAAGCGACGACAGACAGAAGGTGGGAACATACAAGAATCTGTGAAAAGGACGCAGTGATGCAGATGCTAGATCGGTATGCAGTTAGGAAGGAAAAGCTGAAAAGTATGTGAAGCTGTCTCTTGTCCAGTTTTTGTACATATACCTCCAATGGTCAGGATCGCTAAACATTAATCGAAAGTGTGCTTTAGAATAAAGGCAGCAGAAATTAGGTTCTTTCCCAGCACTGCTAGCGATAAGATTCGATACATAGCAACTTAATATTTATTCGTAAACATTCTTTCCCCAAAAATTACAATCATGAGATCAGCATGAAAGATGACGGACTCGCGACATCACTCAATCTCTAAGCAAAGTAGCATGGAAGGCGATTAGAGGGCAGATCAAGGAGACGCCTGCAACTGTCACTCCTCAGAATCCAGTTAATGGAACTTACTTAAGTAGCGAATTATCGGGATTACATAGAACTCGCAAAGCTGCTATTTTCGCAATCCGAAAGGAATAACTGGCTTTAAAAATTTATACATACAAACAGTAACACTCAGGATACGGTGATTTTGTTCCTTGCTAGATGGTACAAACTGCAGACATTTTATTTAGAAAATTATCCAACTCTCGTTGAGCTTCTTGAGGTTTCAATCAGCCTTTAACATCAACATGAAACAGATAATACAAAAATATGATCTTTGATATTCACAGGAACTAAACGTCTAACAAACCAGGTATCGTGGCATAACAACTCCATACAAACCTCACTTAACTCAAGTCGAAACTGGCCGCGACGTTAAAGTTTAGCCGGGCAGCTGTCATATTAAACCATTAGTTAACTAGCTTAGGATTATTGTTCTCGGACGAAACGCAAATGGTAACCTGAAAATACAAACAATTCTGCACATAGCCAAAGAATGTATGAGCGGGATCTGCTTCGCTACACAATTACAAGTAAAAAACGATCGTCGAATACGCTTCAAGGTGCAAAACGCCGCAAAAGACGGATGCATGATGAAGGTAACCTTTTCATCGTACGACTGGTCGGCACTTGAGAAACAGGAGTAGAAACCGGTAGTCGAAAAGAATGACTGCTCTATGATTTCTTTCGGAAATTCTGTGGCGTGCAATTCGGCTGACGCATAAACAGAAAACAGCGCGATTGGCAGTTTAACGACCATGCATATTCGTGAAGTGCACCGTGATTATTCAGTTTGAAGATGTCATTCGCTACAGTACTCTGCAGGAAACACTGTGCGATACGGCACACTTTGGCACCTGGATCATCATCACGTCTTCATTCAATAACATCGTGACAATTTTTATGCATCTGCAAAATCCGAGACCGAAACAGGCAACTTCAGCTTTAGTAACCACTGATTAAATACGGTACCGAAAGAAAAACAATTTCCACCACCGCCACATATGAAAACGTACCTATCACCATCGACGCAGACCATGACGGCGTCGTGATTTATGCACATGAAACGGGAACTCATTTCGGTCGGAAACAGAAACGTTTCTTCTGTCATCGTGTTAAAATTCAGCAGAATAATACGACGATTTTCTTCGTACTGATCGTTAATACCACCAACCACCAACAGCTCGAACGGTGCCACCTTTAGACAACTGTGACCGTAGACCAAGGGCGGACAACGAAAAGCCGAATGGGCAGACCACGATTTCGTGATCGTGTTATAAAAATAAAGAATGGTAGATAAATGGCTGTCATGCTCTGACAGTCCACCTAAAACATACACGCATCCAGTTGACGCCAGATACGTACAAGAATGAGAATGCAAAGCAACGGGCATCGTCTCCACTTCAATCCATCGATTTTCTAAACCTAACGCAGCGACCCAACAGTCAGACAGAACTACTGGCGCCTTCTTTTGCTCCGAAGATGAAGTTATACCGCCGCACAAGAATACACTGGGTTCGTCTGAACTCAACAAGCATGCGGCGTGACGAAATCTTGGCATGGGAGCAACAGGACCTAAAACATTTCAGGTAGTTTCACATTAGAAAAAGCAATAAAAACATAATCATGCGCTCGAAGTAATTATCCATTTTTCTAAAAGAATCAAGTCAGGAAAGAATGGAGACACGCATGAATCTTTTGAGTATTTTGACCTCAAACGCAAAAACCAACCTCAAAATTAAACATTATTGCACTATTCTGTTTACTACTGAGGAAAGCTTGCGAACATTCCTTAGTCTAAAGATTTAAAATTTACTTCCTTCTCATCAAGTACTACAAAAATGCCCCGCGCAGTAGTATGCCTAGATCTGAAATTGATTCAAATTAATCAGATTTAGAATAACGTCATCAGCTGGGAGGGTCAAGACAATGCACAAAACTGATAAGTTTTGAGCAGACTGTTTGACTGACACTGCAGACGCAAAGAAAGAGAACCTTATCTCTGCCTAAATACCTAAATACCCACATATCGTGATTCTTGTGGACCAATAAAGAAGCTTCTGCAACAACTGAACCACATCCGAAAAGAAATCAAAACGGATAACCCAACCAATCTGACAACAACACTGACCTTTCCATTCGAATGCGGACGCAAAATGAGGTCATCGTTCATCAGGAGGAAACCATCAATTGTTCCGAGATAATGAACAAAAAACATTGTCCAGAAGGTGGGCAAAGGCAACAGGTTCAACATACACTCATCACTGAGGAGGATCGAGCATAGCCGAACCATCACAAGCAAATAATTAGTGCAATCAGCCCAGATTCTGCTGCTAAGTTCTAATCAGCAAAGATATGTGATTATTACTCCAGTCGAAACACCCAAGACTATTCAGATTCTAGCAAACTCTCAGTTACAGTCATGAACCCAGTAAAACCGACTATCGAACAAAACGAAGACAGCAATAGAAAAAATTAATTTAACCAGTTTAACAATATCGGTAACCATTAATCGGTAGTTACACTTGTTGCATATTTTCTCCTTTTCTGTCAAAACTCAGATATAGTTAGAACCGCTCCCCATTCAGTCAAAACTTGAAGATCATGAAGGACGGAGTATAATAAGGACAACCACCGAGGACTAAACCAATACCATCAGTTCGGCAAGGAGACCGCAATTCAACCCTAATCGATAACTATGCTTGCCATTTCTGTTCGTTACTGTAGCCGCTGACCTTCCGTAACTAATCACTGAAATTGTCAAACACTCATCCTAAACAAATCAACGACCCGGTATTAAGTAACGTTACTCATCAAAACATATTATACATAAAAGCATATGAGAAATATTAAAAGCTCTAATTTTTCGAAGGCGAATGTATCAACATACCGTTAAAGCAGAGATTTTCAACCGTGCAATGCAAACCGTCTACCCGCAATAGACATGGGTTGTTAAGAGGAATCAGGGGTCCCTTTCTTCCTCCGAACAAAAATACTGTATCGTCACCAACGACAGTCGCAGTAAAGTATAGTCTTTCCATGCAAGAAACAGTCGGATAACCGCAATCACTGTCTTTAGGGTACGACGCAGAATTCTCCATCGTCGAACAGTCCAATGCAAACACGTCTCGCAGTCTTCGATGTTTCCGAAAAGCGCAGCCCCACCCACCTACAAACGATGCTTAAAAACACACTTAAAAATATGAAAATTTAAAGTATTACAACGAATAAAGTACTGATATATAATAAATAACACGTCAACAATATGTGCTAATACATAAGTTTCCTGCGCATCTCGGAGTAGACGCTGAACAGTAGAACGATGTGATTGGAAAAAACGGCCCTATAGACCCCAACAATAACGGCATTAAATTGTTGAGGTTTTGTGCAAACAACTGTTCATAATGAACACCTGCTTCTTGCATTAAAGGGCGCATCAGTATATAAGGCACATAGAAATTTCTGCACAGAAATCGATGATCGATTTGATAATCGTATCGTATGTCTTAAGACGCTCGGTAATGGATATTCGCGTTAAGTGGCGCAGAGCTATAAACCGATCACCTCTTGTTGTTGGCACGCTGCGCTGTAAGAAATGGAGTACCATACGAAGATCCGGTGGCAGAAGCAACCGGAGGATAAAATGGGAAACACTGTCTTCGGTGGACACGAGAGCGACATGAGATCGACCGGCGAATTGGAGTAGCCAGTGGAGTTCTGCGTGAACTAGCCCGACCTACTGTGACTAAAGCGGAGCTCAGTCTGAAAACTAAGCTCTCGGTGTTTAAGTCGATCTTCATCCCCATGCTTACCTACGGTCATGAATCGTGAACCATCAGTGAAAAACTTCGAACCCGGGTACAAGCTGCTGAAATCGGCTTTCTTAGACGCGTCGCTAGTCGTACGCGTTTCGATATGATCCGCAATATTGACATCCGGGACAGCCTTGGTGTATAGCCTCTGCTTACCCAGATTAAGAAGTCGGAGCTGCAATGGTTTTGGTGTGTTGCGAATGCCTCCAGAAAAGAAGGCGGGGCAACATTTTCTTGCGAAACCGACCGGCAGAAGGCTCCGGGGGGCGGCCAAGGTTAACCTGGTGCAAATATACGGATGGAGTCTGCTATGGACTCCAGTTGTCTTCTGCTGAAGCTCAGACTCTGGCACAGGATCAGGAACGTTGTAGGCACTGTTTGCAGCTTCTGCCTCCGCGACCCCAAAGGAAAAGCCGCCATGGAAGATGAAGGTGAAGAATAAAGAGTAAACACCAAACTATTTATATATGAGAAAAAATCTAAACTATTCAATGCACAGAGTCTAAAGGACCTCAAGAAATCTGAAAAGCCGGCTTAAGGGGTGTCTTAATATTATCAATTGCCATAAATCAATCAAACCTCATATATTTGGCATACAGAACCACGTCAGTTAGTCAGTTAGCAAAATAAAATAGTGATACGAAGAATAGAAAAGGCGTTTAGCATAGGCTCGCATGAAATTACAGCTCAATAGAACCGTTATGCCATCTCTATGGAAGCGAAAATTTTTTGCAAGGAATATGTCGAACGAAAATTAATCTGCTTACAGTGACGCTGTCGCTTAAAAAAAGCAGCACTGAAGTTTAGTGGCAGTTATTCATTACGGCACCGAAGGAAATCTGTCACAAAATGGAATACTGAAAAAGCAACACATTATATTTGAAAGAAAAGGTTTGCCGAACTGAATTAGAAAAATATTACAGATATTTTAGTGGAGGGAGCAGCCATGAAACGCATTATAACGGACAAAAAACACGATTTTACAGATAACCAGTCGGCAATAACAGCCAATATCACTTGATACTGATTCTTTTTACGCTGCGGTTGAGCAGTCGGTACAGTGTCGGGCTTCAAGACGAAATTTCAAGAATGAGACTATTTTTTTGTTTTTGAGGCACATAAGTCAGTATCACTACGAGGTAAGAAACCAGCATGTACACACCAAATAGCTGTAGAAAGATTTTTAAGAATATGGAAACTCTGGGCATTAAAATGACACTGACATCTGCACTTCATGGTCACACCAATTGAATCGAAGTCACAAATAGTGTATATCGTAGAAACGAAAGAGACCAGCATCCCAATGATTACATACTATTATGTTCTTTGCCTGTCAGTTCTTCCTGCAAACGTTTCCTTATATACAAGCAAAGCGTATGGAGTGAAAACATGTTAAGATTATTACCGATATAGTATATCCACGTTCCGACAGCAACTGCCTTGTGACCTAGTCGCTGGGCGCCTTGCAACTGACTTATGTCGATCATAGAAATCGAAGTATTTCTTTCAACAACAGCTGACGGCACCACCTGTTCAGACATGAATCTCTGACCGTATCTATAAAACGGCATACAGTTAAAAACATTATGCTGAAAAGGTATCAGAAATAAGGAATCATAACTGTTAAAATACGGTTCAGTTACTGACAGCTCACACACGAACAAAACACTCCGTAACTACGTTTCGAATTTAAACTAGCGAAAATAAAAATCTAGTAGTGCACTTTACGTAGGTTAAACAAAAGTCTGTGGTATACTACATTTTTGCCTTGCTTTATTTTGATATGCATTTTGGAAAAGTAAAAATTGAATTTTCACCCTAATGCGAGTTCCCGCAACGCGGAAAAGAATTCTGTGCGGTGCATTCGTAATATTCTTAATACGAACACTGAGGAACGTTGCAACACAATGTCACTGTCCATAACAAATTTATTTTCATTTACTGACTCCTTTATATTCCCTCATGCAGAGGATATTTGCCAACAGCCAAGGGGTAAGCATAACCAACTATATGCGGATCTACAGATCTGTAATATTCATTATTTTTCATATTACTCCGCATATATTCAGAATTTCGACTTTCTGGCAGTTTTTCAATGACCCCTCCGTGAGCGTCAGGTGACCAAAGCTCACACTCACTGATTCTGAAACGATGCAATTTGCAGAAGCAACAACTGGTGTTTTTCGTGCAGACTTCGTCGTAAGGAGGAAAGCCAGCATAGGACACGTCGTATGAACAAAAGCTGCAACAAAATTATAGTTAATTATAACATGGACAGTTGCCAGTAGTATGAGCATAGCTTTTCCTAAGGAGGTGTCAGGGTGCATAGCGTGATCCAAAGTCCATTTGGTGCTTAGAACTGTGATTTAAGAAGTACATCGCTTTACGACATGACTGTACCTGTCAAGCATACAAACAAACATTTTTCGATTCCATCACAGCTAATCGGAAAAACAAGACTACTTAAAAGAACAGAAGTGTTGCCACATCGCCAGACACTTGAAACTGAAAATTTAAACATGAGTCGCAAGGTACCACAGTCAAATAGCACCAAATCAAATATTTTTGTGAACCCGAATTTAATTAAGTTTGTCAGCCTCAGTACAGGTCGCTTCTTTCAGTATAAAATTGCGTCATACCGATTAAACACTGTACGGAAGTCTGCACAGAAACGAAAAAAAATTAATATGAAATTTCAGATGCGGCTGCAACTCAGCGGACAAGCTTATTACAGTCAACTCTTTCTTCTCTTCATCCTCTTTGCACATCTGGAAAGAACCGCTTAGAAATGATTATTCGACTGCATTTCGTTATGGAGACTGGTTTTACGCTATACAGGTGAATTCGACAAGATAACAGATGTGAGCAACTCCGTTGCCTGAAAGGTGGAAAAATTCCTTAACATAAGCTTGTTTTCTAAGAAACAGGGTTCAAGAAAGTGGAAATTTGAGTACATAAAAAATGCAATACACCCACAAAACCAGATTTCATCATGCATCGCATCGTCCTCTTGCTTCTAAATGTTTCGGGGACCTTGATGCAACACATCTGATGAAATGGCTTGCATAAATGGCTAATTATTCATCCAAAATCAAAGGAACTGTGACACGTCGTTAAGTTCAGCTTTTGGATTCATATGCCTGTACAGGAAGAAGAAATCAATTGTATAAACTCTCCCCATTAAACAAATCATTTTTATGACCTTTCACAGAGATTAACAATGGACTTCACTTGACAACTAATTGAGCATGCGAAGTGAGTTTTGCGGTTTCACCAAACGGTTATTTATGCTGACCATTCAAGCCATGGAGCTACTGTGAAACAACATTGCAACAAAAGTGCATAGAAAGGAACTAAGTCCGCCGCATACCTTTGAAAATCATTGATAGTTGAAGACGCAAAAACTAAAACATAATGAGAAAGTTTCAGGTGCCAGGTCTCGTATTCGTCGAAAGGTTCAAGATCTGATATCCGAATTTTCTCTTTAGCCGACACGAAATCCTTGTAAATCAATGAGATCGGAACTGTGCGGATGTACGGCCATCCCTGAAACGAAGCTAACAATTGAAGAGTTTTGATACTGCCTCAAAGTGCAAATAAAAGCATGGTTCCACTGAAGTTAAAACACAATTAACCTTACTAACTATCCATTTCCAAATGTATTTAGTCAGCACAATTAGACGTTTTTACAAAAGGTCCGCTTCATCAGGGTACATATAGTACAAGTACAGTCATCAAGGCAGAACAGTTGACTTTGTTTGTTGTGCCTAGATAACTCTTAATGCAACAGGGCCATTGAAATTGTATCTCAAACGTCAGAAACTTTTAAAAAAGTAGTGCTGATAAATAAATCTGCTTGAAACTATGTTAATGATGAGTTACATAACCACGTAAAAAATTAAATCAATAATTAAACTGCAACAGTTTTTAAAATTGTCCTCAGATGTACGCGAGGAACCGAACGAATCTTGAATTTGCAATAATCAGATCCGGAAAACAGCAAGGA